CAATTATTTTTAATAAACGAAAATTTCTCCACCCAGATGAGAATCGAACTCAAGACCTTTAGGTTTAAAGGCAGGCGCTCTTACCACTGAGCCACAGAGGGGGTATATATTCCGAAATGAATTATTTAGTACTGATACACTAGATATAAATATTTTTATGGTAATCCAAATACTGAACTTACAAATAAAATATGAGCTATCTTGTTGACGTTGCTATATAAACGTCTTACAATAATCGATAATTTCTAGTTCTTCAGGCAAAAAATTGTAAAAAAAATTAGAATATATCTGCACATAAACTAAAAAAAGTTGTAACAATTGTTGAAAACAATATATTTAATCAATTATTGAGATATTAGTCCCAACGGTTATTGTGGATTTATTTGAAGTCTAGACATGTAGAAAAAAGATTTTAAGAATGTTTAAAAATGTACTTAAATTTGTTTGTTTCAAGAATATAAATATTGTCGATTACTTTTGTGTTATTTTTAATATATTACAGATTTTTTTTATTGATGATATCACAAATTGAACAAAGTTAACCTATAATTCATATTTCTCATACATAAATACATAATACCATTCCAATCCAGTTCAATGTTGGTGCCAGTCGATGTGTCTATGTGCATGGTTTCTACAGCTTCTTGCAAATTGGTACGATCGAGCCAAGGTTTGAATCGTCGATCCACTAGATCATTCACAGTAAATTTAGTGTGTTTTGTTCAACTGGTTCGCTTGGCAATCTGACCGAGGTTGATCGAACACTTTTTAAATTGAAGAATCTAATAGTCTGAAATTTGACTAAATATTAGCCTCATGTAATTGCAAAATTTATAGAATTTTATGTCTTAATTGTGTGAAATCAAAGTCCGATATCATATCACATCATGTATCCAAAATATGCTTCCTTTGTTGATTTTTCTTGTGTAAAAATTTCTGGTGATTTTTCAAGCCGTTTCAGGATTCTTATTGGTGTGATATCTTCAAAATATTCAAAGTCTGAGACAATAGCACCTTAGTCGGTCCGGATCAGGCAACGTACATATCTCAGTGCCGTATATGACGACAGCAAAGACATCACATCGAAGGATTCTCACTTGTAACTGATTGGATGCAGATTTAGCATTCTATATCCCAATCTTGATCTGAAAGTAATCCTAGTTCTCTCCGATATACGTCAGTGGAAAGTAATTTAGAAAAAAAATTACCTGGGTGCTAATTTCAAGTTCTCTAATCTCGAACAACCCGTTGATACATTGCTTGCCAAATACCACCATTTCTATAGCTTACTTTGCAGATATGCCGATAGAAAATAGTCAGGAGAACTCAAATCAGGACTCGTGCGAGGCTTTATTGGTACCTTTACGAGAAATCACTTTGTTCAGGAATAATTCGTTTACTGCAGCAATTGGTAAATCTGTGGTAAGAAGTGTTAATGACTGTAGTGAAAATCTTGATAAAAAGCCTCGTATTTTTTCGCTGTAACGTTGACTGTTTACAGTAACTGCTTATTAGTGGAAATACGGAGCGATGATGCCTTTACCGGACCTTACAGCCTAGATTTCTGGGCTAGTAATTCTGTCGTAGATTTTTCTCTGCCCAGTAGCGAAAATTTTGCTTGTTAGTAAATTCTCCGGTCAAGTGAAAGTTGGCTTTATCGCTAAACAGAATATTTTCCAAAAATATTGATCGATTAGTATATTCAGCATTTTTTAGTTATTGAACCTATTGGATTTTTGATGATCTTGGTAGCTTAACTTCTTTTGAGAATGGATAAATTGGATTCTGGCTAACGGAAGTTTTTACTTCCTTAGGTTTACAGATTATGAGCAATTTGAGACAGTTAATTTGGTTTGTTTGAACATCTGAATATACTTTCTCATGTTCTCGTTACTTGGTATGTGGCTAACGAATTACCAAACATACACTGACAAACTTTTTTTTTGTTGTAATTTTACAGTTAGGTCTGTTGTAACGTTATTTAGGTATAGTGACTATACTATTTGTTATATTTTGGCTATGTCTGTTGTGTATATCATTATAATGGGTCTCCAAGTTGGCTAGTCATATTTTTTGATTTTTAGAATTGCAATTATTCTACTTTTTAATTGGACAAAGCGACATGAAATCAGGAGGTTAGAGAGATAGAGAGAGCAGTGCTTTTTTGTCTTACTACACAATTGAGTATGGTATTTTGTTTTTAATTTTATTTGAAATTAATCAATCGGTTGTGATTACGAGCAATGCTCCTATTTTTATAACTAAGATATTCAGATTGAGTAGGTACTTAAAGATTATTCTTACTTTCTTATTTTTTCTTGTGTCTACAGAACAGTCATTCTACAATAACTGTTGTGTCTAAAAATTATGTTTTACATAATAGCAGAGATATTAATGACCCTAGATTAGAAGAATATATATTTTGTGTTAAGGAGTTATCTCTGTGTTTATCTACAAATCGGTATTATTTATTAAGTTCTTTTGTTTTATATGTGTATCGGATATTTGGAAAGTATTGTTTTATACATTTCTTAAGTTACTAAGTAACCTTTTTAATAAAGACTTATTTGAAATATTGTTTTTATTTTTACATGTTCTTTACTATCTCTCTCTTCGCCAGATAAGGAAAAACGTGAAGTAAAAAAGGAACAATTGATATTGTTTTCTTAATAATATCATTGTGTAATGTAATGGAATAGTGAAGCATAACATATAGCCACTCAAGCTGATCAAGAACAAAAATGAATGGATGACCGATGAGATTCTGGATCTCATGGAAACAAGAAGATCCTAATTATAATTTATTCGTCTTCCGGGTTTGGACCGTGTCATTTGTGAGTGACCCAAAAGTGGGTTCATCTCGACGTTTCGCTACAATTGTATGTAGCTTCTTCAGGAGAACAAAGAAATGTATTTGTAAATTGTATGTAGCTTCCTGAAGAAACTACATACAATTGTAGCGAAACGTCGAGATGAACCCACTTTTGGGTCACTCACAAATGACACGGTCCCAAACCCGGAAGACGAATAAATTATAATTCTGACTCTGGCCGTGGAAGCCTACGATCTCAAGAAGATCCTATAAAACCAAAGACAAAAACATGTATAATATTATACACACAGAAATAAAGAGAAAGGTCAGAGATGCAAAGGAAAGATGGTATAGTGACAGATGCGAAGAGATTGAACAGTGGGTGGAGAAAAATGATAACTTAAACCTTCATAAAAAAAATAGGGAAATAACTGGCACTAAAATTAAGAAAAAATCAAACATACTGCTGGATGAAAACGCCAAAATAATTATAGACGTCGGTGAAAAGCTTAAAAGATGGCAGGAATATATTCAAATATATATAAATACCTGTAGACATAATACGGTTAATAGAACAGCAAATCGGAATATTGGTCGACTTATTTAATACAATATACAGTACAGGAATACCTGTACTGTATATTGCTTAGGGCGGATGAGCTAGTAAGTGGAAAGACACTCTGTTGTCCTGAGACTGAGAAATTGGTCTCGAAGGCGGAAGAACCCAGAAAGTTGTCAACGGCATCAGAATGCAGAAGGCAACGAGAAACCACTGCATTAAAGGTCCCTGATGACATCTCTAATATAAATTATACTGGCTAGCACTATTTGCGCAAGAGACATTATTGATTGTGGTAATCGGAGACCAAAATCCGACAGGGGAGGACAACCATCAGAACACAAGGTCTCCTCGATCGTTAACATGCGAAATCCCTGCACAAAAAACAAAAAAAAAACTTAACCCTCTCAGATTAAAATAGCTACCTGGAATGTAAGAAGTATGTATAAGCCTGGAAAACTACATAATGTTATTAAAGAGAACGAGATGCTAAATATAGATATACTTGGGGTAAGCGATGTACAATGGTCAGGAAATGGAGAGATATCAATAAATAACCACAATATTTATTACACTGGAGGAGACAAAACTGATCATCGATACGGAGTAGCTTTCATCATAAGCAACACTATTAGAAAATCAGTGCTAGGTGTGATTTAAATCTCAAAAAGAATAATAATTCTCAAAATTCAAGAACGTAACAGTAACATATTAATGTGTATGCTCCCACAGCTGATAAGATCGAAGATGAGATCGAAAAGTTTTAGTCAGAATTGCACAATTCAATCAAGTTCACAAAATTGAGATATTACTTATATTTTAGGAGACTTTAATGCAAAAATTGGAGTAGGTGCTGTTGAAAATATAGTTGGACAGTTCAGATTGGGAACTAGAAACGAGAGAGGAGAAAGGCTCATAGAATTCTGCCATGAAAAGAATATGGTAATTGCCAATTCTTGGTTTTAGCTTCCTAAGAGAAGACTATAGACATGGACGTCTCCTTCACATACAGAAAACCACATTGTCAGAAACCAGATAGACTTTATACTCGTAAATAGCAGATATAAAAACTCTATAACCTCAGTTAAAACTTATCCTGGCGCAGATTTTAACTCGGACCACAATCCGTTAGTTGCTGACGTGAAAATAAAATTAAAAAGAATTGAACTCAGAAAACAACAACCAAAAATTATTGTATGAATTCAAAAACGAAGAAATAAAAAACGAATTAAAAAATAATGTGAATGTTAATATGCAAAAAACACTACAACAAACAAATTATTTGATTGTCAGTCTTAGTTTTGTTTTATTTGTCAAAATCGTTTGTTATCACAGCGTTAGTAGTTTGTTGTAGTAATGTGTTACTAATTTTTTCATGGTAAAAAGAATCTTATCTATTTGATTAAGGATTTTAAGAACAATTTTTGTTAAGAGTGTCAACACAGACTGGACTTCCCTATTTTGTGTAGTCTATATTTTACTTTAAACTATTGTCGGTTGAGTATTTACAAATGTATTTTTCAGTAGGTATTATATAAAATTTATATTTTCCTCCTTGCTTTTTCTTGACATGGGGAAAATGATAACATAATGTTGATGGAGAGTACTGGTGATCTTCATAAAAAAGACTAATTGAAAACAATTTTTATTTTGTATTAAATAACAAGATGGTTACAGATTTCGTTTTGCATTGCATTTATTTCGATAACACCAAAGGTTATGAACACATTTTAGCGAGTAAGAGATGTGTGAACAGTTAAGATTTGACAGGTTCATTTTACTATAAGTAAATTAACAGTTAATTATCGAATTCAATAGTTCCAGTGATACAAAACATCTTTGAACACACATCCATTACCATTCAATTTATTAACTTAACAACATTCGAGATAAATGCATCATATAATATACTATTCGGTTTTTGGCTTCACTGAAGCTATTATGTTTTGGATGAACACTGATTTATATAGGAAAATAGATAGGATGGCGCCAGCGATGGCTCCAAACCAGTAGACTATCACATGTTCCACAAAGGTATTTCCATCACAACCAAGCTTCAAAGATGTCGCCAACGCTGGGTTGAAGTAACCTCCGGAGAAGTTGAATGCTACAAAAAATCTATTATTAGTTCAAGAACTGTCGTATAATGCATAATATACAACAATAAATAATTAGAATATATAAAAAATACATTTTGCTGTATTCTGCTGCTATTTAATTAATTTTGCATATAATTTTACGAATCGTTTCGTTCTTCCTCAGTCTCCAGATATCGATATCGACAAAGCCACACCAAATTACCCTCCCTTCTACTAACGGCTTTCTCTGTAATGTTCTGACATTGTCGTTCCTGCCGAAGTACTGAATCTGTGTCTAAAGTTTATTTTTATGAACGGGAGAGTAATTAGCATAATTTTAACTGGTACTTCCGACCACTCCATGGGCGTGCTCAAGATTAATTGAAAAATTACTTTGAATAATTGTAAAAAATAAATGAATTATTTCAGTGTTATAAAGTGTTATGTGTATGTAAACAAAAGTGACCTCTTTTATCACACACTATATTAGAACTGACTGGCCTACATTAAAAAGGGTTTTAAAGAATTTACATTTTTTTTAGTTTTTAAAAATTACAAAAGAGAAAAAGAGTTTTTAAAACCGTCTAAGGTATGTTAAATAGGATGAATAAAAATATTAATATAAAACTTACAGCTACTTGTTACAAATCCAAATCAGATTCAGAAGATGAACTTTCAGAACCAAGATTTATAATAACTGGCTCGATCATTTTATCAGTAATATTGTCCAGCTTCCACATTTTTTCCTCTTCTTTAATAGTGTGATTTACTGCCTTTTCCCAGTTTTCAGGTTTTACATTATTTACGGCCTCCAAAAACAACTGTTTAACATCATGAATTTTAAAAGTGGTATTTTTTCTTGAAACTCCACTCTTTATCTCTGCCCATACCAGTTCAATCGGGTTTCTAAGTACTGTCATTCCACGATTTTTGGCAATTTCATCAATTTCGTATTTTTTAAATTTTTCTTTATGAAGGGCACGCAACGAATAAAGTTCCTTTCTTATAGATCCGGGATGGTACGTAATATTTTTTGAACTCAGCCAATTCTGCAAGTCTTTTTTTAACCACTTGGTTGTGGGCAGTCCTTCTATAATCTGGAGTGATAACTTGCATTATCCATTACTATTACACAGTTCTTAGGAAGAAGATCTATCATTTGTTCGAACCATTCTTGAAAGACATCAGCGTTCATGTCTTCATGGTAGTCACCGGTACGAGTTGATTCAAAAGTTAATAAACCACCTTCAACAAAACCGTCTGAACTGCCAATGTGTACTATTATCAGCCTGCGTCCCTTTCCTGATGGTGGGTTTAAACCAGTAGATAAGTTATTTACAAAACCGTGCCTTTGACTTGTAACAGTTTCATCCTGCCAAAATTTATTTGGTGTATGACCCTCGTTGATCCATGTTTCATCAAGATAAAATATTTTTCTTTTTTGGTTTCTCATTTCCTTTATGGTTCTTAGGAAATGTCTTCTCCATATGACAATATCGCTTCTTTCTAATAAAATAGACTTTCTGGGATTCTTTTTCCAGCGGAAGCCTATTTCTTTTAAAAGTTTCCATAACGTACTTCGACTCATTTCTGGGTAATCCTTATCATCTCGAACTGAGACAAGACCTTTATCCAATGTTGGAAATTCTTGTCTAAAGAAGAATTCATGCACTTTCCGTCGAAGTCCTTCTTTAAAATGATATTCTATTTGAAATTTTGGTTTCCCTGGAGCATTACGTGGCATTTGAAAACTACCACATTTCTCTTCTTTAATAACTCTGTAAATCGTAGATTTTCCAACACCAAGTGTACTGCTAACTAACTCAACGGTCTCATCAACACTTTCACATAAACGTTTGTCTGTAAATGATTTAAAACAATTAAATATTAATGTTTTTTCATTCACTGTTAAAGGACCAATTTTTGGGCGTTTACACGGCACTTCCAAATTTTCCATAACACTAGTATACACAATAAACTACACCTTGCAACTGAAGTACCTACTTTTAGTGAACTGTTAAGAATTTTGAATACGCCACTTGGACCTTCCTACAAAATGGAAAAACCCACTATCACATTCTGTGGAATAAGTTAAGAAGGTAATTATCTAGTCAATTACTGTCGTAGATTCCTGAAATTAAAGAATTAAATGTTTGATTGTTGAAACCCTTACTTTGTGGAATGCACTTATTTCAGATAAAATAAAACGTTTTATTTGATCTAAAGAATTAAACTTTATTTTGCAAATAGTTAGGTACTTATTAAACTTTTATTGGTTTTATATAACCAATAAAATAAACATCTTACATTTCTTGCAAATTCATTAGTACCTGTTAACCTCCATCACTCCGACACTGGCAACCTTATTTAGGGATTAGTAACCCTCACAAGTATTGTATTCTATTCTGCTCCAACCTTTATACCTGGTGGTCATACTCAATTTAAAATTGTTTTCCTATATACTTCTGTAAACTTGTTGACAAATATCTGTTTTTCATTGAGTCACCCGTATCAACAGTTTAGGGATTTGCATACATAATTTATTGTTTTATTACTCGCTCATACTTAAAAATACACTATAGTCGATCTTGTTTACGTCAACGTCATCTTTCAATGATCTTCGTGTCCTCTCTGATGTGGATTCTTAGTGCTGTCTTCTTAATCTAGCTTCAGAACGCTTCAGAAAGTAATCATAATCACCTATGTAATAAATCTAGATTCACATAATATACTACCTACTAGTAAAAAAAATTATGTTTACCTGCAACCACCATCATGGTCCCAAAAAAGGCGTCGAAATAATTACCCAGTTTGGCGTCGGATTCGCTTAAAATTCTCGAAACGATTCTACACAGACATGTAGCCGATGCTTCTATTATCGTTCCAAGACCTGTGTCTACTTGCAGATCTGTTGTGCAGTCTTCATAGGCTTTATCTAGGTGGGTTTCTACTAATTCTAGTGACCAAAGAACTTGAACATATCTAAAGAGTATTAGGAAGAAAACATATATTAATAAAAAACAAATACACAAATGTACACATCTATTAAAAGTGAAAAAGCTTATAGAATTTTTTTACTAAAAAATTTTCATCTATGCGCAGTCCTGCAATGGGATAACCCCAAAGATCACTAAAACAGTAAGTCTAGGTATTTATCTCAAATAACTGTATGATCTACTTGTTGGAGAACTATATCTCCAAACCAATAATTCTATTTTGTATCAAATAATTCTATTTTCGCGTCGGTTACCTAAATAAATCCAGTCTACCTAGACCTTGTTTCTGAGAATGTTAATCCCCGCCCACAGCGCCTACGTGACAATAGACCGGCTTTTCAAAATGGATAAACAAAAAGATTCCAGCGGGGCGAGGGAGGCGACCAGGTACACCGACAGTGATTTAGCGACTTTCGTAGGGCTAACATCTATATTTCAAAAGTTCGGAGATGATTCTCCACGTTGCAGTTTTCGCAATTGACCGGGAAGCCGTAATATGTGAATAAGTGTTATGGTGTTTTCGCTTTCGTTCGCAAATTGTAATATTTAAATTAAGTTCCTACGATAAGTTACACACTCAAATTTTATAAGCTATTTCTTGCGCTTTCTTTTTTCAATTACAGTTTCTTTCTAAACAAGTAATTGTTTTATTTCACTATATCAATTCAACAGGCCAGATAAAAGCAACTTTGAAAGTCCATTTTAGTTTCTCTACTGAGCTGTCGAAGGCTAGCGGACTAATTGGGCTTACAGCAAGAACAAAGCCGCTGAAAGAGACACTGTTGCATATAAGCCTCTCCATGGAAGGAATGTTGTAAACCGGCACCCTCCACTACTAGTTTACTTATCTACATATTAAAAGCAAATTATCCAAATACTGACCTGAATGTTAGAAGGGCTCCGGCTAACTGTGCACCGATCAACCAAAAGGCCGTTTTAATATCTTGGTTACCTTCAATAACTTCTTCTATAGGAGAATATGGACATGCACTTGCACTTTCCCAGTTCGATCCCCACCAAACGGTCAGCAAAAATAGGTAGAATGCGTAAGCTGATATACCCCAGTTATCAGCAACTAAAAAAGTATAAAAATAGGCAAATGAAGGATAAGTACTAATGAAAGAAAAACTATTATTGTGATTCATAAGCTTCTATAGTTTACAAAGGTAAATATTTCTTGATCACATCATAAAAGACATATAGATCGATAATTGTAACTTATAAAACTTAATGTGTAGGTACAAAGAAATGTAGCTAGATTATTAACTCTACAAACTATAAAAGCTAATATTTCAACTTAAATCTTAGTTGCCCTAAAAATAATATTACTATTTAACATTTATGCTAAATTTCAATACGACAGCAACAAAGTTTACTTGCCAGTATTTTAATAATATTTCGTACCAGGCATGCAAGATTATGTTTGAGAGAAAACAACAAACGTGTTTTGTGAGATACCATTGGAAATGTAAGGGTTTGTATAATATTTAACGACAGGCATGCAGATCTTTTTGCTAATTTCAATAAATATGTTGCTGTAGTAAAGCTACATACTATATTAAAAAATTAACCTAATCGGTGATAATGATTGTATCGATTAATCGATTTGTTTAAGGGCCGGGGGATGCGCTCTTCTTCTAATAGGAGTAAAGCTGAGCGGGAAAAGAACAAATCTCAATGGACAAGTTTTGCACAGAGAGTCTTAGGATTTTTCACCTCCTTAAACTATCCCAAGCCGCTCGGTACCCTCAAAAATGATTGCGGGTGTGTAATCAAAGCCTAAAGCCGAAGAGCAGGGAGCTTCTGGAGAAATCTGAACGCCGAAAGGACCGGAGAGTTTCTAAAGAAATATCTCAAGCTGATAGGCAAGGAAACAAAAGGGCTGTCAGAGTAACATCGTTGGAAGACATTGATCTCATGACAGACGAAGAAATTAGAGCTGCAAAGCTATCTGGCGTCTCTAGAGCCAAAATCAGTAGGCTGGCACGACAAGGCCAAGATTACTTTTATAGAACAGTGGCTGTAATCTAGGCCAATTTCATCAAGGCGGCTGAAAGGGCAAAAGAGATGCCGTCAAAGCCATTAGAGGCCATGACAAAAGTAATACAAACGCAGAAGACCGAAGGCCCAAAAGGGCTAAGGTCAGACGGAAGCACACCACCTGAAAGCCAATGCAAAGGGAAAACGCCACGAACCGAAGGTGTGACTTTTAGCAAAACTATCGTTTCTGTTAAGGTTGCAGCGGTAGCAACAGGATTTCCGGAAGTCAAGATGGATGTAGACAAGCTTAAGGCAGTCAAAATTGCCATCCTGGGCGCGTTATGACAAAATTCCGGAAGCAGGACCATAAGTTCATTCCTGAAGAGTATATACACACCAAGTTTCCTGGAAATTAACTGTGTTAATGACATAAATGTGCGGTGGCTAAAGAAGGTGATTCCAACCCTAAGGCCTTGTAAGAGTGCATATCTCAGAGATATGGAGGTGGAAAATATACCCAAGTCGCACTCATGCACTGTCTTCATACAGGACGAACATGGGAAACGTCTTGAGTCCAGAAGAATCCTTAATAGATTAAGAATAAGGCTCAGGACACATTTATGGACAACCTGGGGTAGTAAACCTTCAGACAAAGGGGTATTATGGCCCTTCTCGATGGATTCTGAATCTCGAGAACTCCAGAAATTAAAAATGTAACCCTTTTTCGGAGTAGGACGTTTAACGTACCGACCTAAAGACGGGAAGACAAAAATACGGAATGTAAAGTGAGTAGGAACTCGTTCCAGTGAAACAGGGGAAACTTCCCTATATATGGAGTTGCAGGAAGAGGAACAACCTTCTTCGGATAGAGCTGACATATAACGACTAATGTCCAAGTGTGTGTCGGACCCATGGAAGAAGGAATATCCACAGATCTAGAACCAGCCTTCTCTTCGCAATGAAGAGAGAAGGCTGGTTCTAGATCATGAGGCTCCTGTAGGCCAATCTTTCCTTTAATATCTGCTACAGGATGGTTAAATGCTATGTATGGTCCATATTGTTATACGGCATGGAAACATGGAAGTTAAGAGTACCTTCCATTAATAAGTTGTAGGCCTTCGAAATGTGGATGTTGCGAAGAATGTTCCGCATACAATAGACAGATAGGGTGAGAAACGAGGAAGTCTTAAGAAAGGCAAATACTGAGAGAGAACTACTCAATTTGATCAATGTATGAAACATTGGATATCTCGGCCATATTCTGAGAGGAAAAAAATACGCAATCCCTCAACTAATCATCCACGGAAAGATTGAAGGGAAGAGAGGAGTAGGTCGCAAACAAATGTCGTGGCTACGGACTGGCGATCTTTGTCAAAAAAGACATACGTCTGGCCTTAAGATAATTCGCCAACGCACTCTAGGTGCACGGCACTGTAAGAAGAAGAAGGACCCCTAGACCATTATAGGTACTAACACATGGGTCCATCATAGGCAAATAGGCAAGACAGTAAATTTAATTGTGTTACTTTTGTTTTGACCATTTTAACCTTAAACAAAAATGTTACTTACCAACAAATTTTATTAGGTCAGCTATATCAAATTTTAATTTTATTTCACAAATTTACTGTTATAGGAGCCACGTGTCTGAAAATTTTTTTTTTTTTTTTATTAAGTAAACCGCGTCAACCATGAAAGGTTATTGGCGGGAATGAGTTGTACATAAAATTAGATGTTTGCTTATAACTACCATTTACAATTGTTAACTTAAGTCTATTTTTTATATTAGATTGTACAATTTAGTTAGTTTTAGAAACTTAGACACTTTATCACAGTTACTATAGTTCAGAGCACATTTCAGATCACTTGGTAAATCACTTTGAAGTCGTTCCAGGTGATAGAGTGGACAACTAACAATAATGTGTTCGATTGTCAGAGGAATATCACAAACATAGCACAGTTTTTGTTGTTCTTTCTTCATTAGGTACTGGTGGGTTAACCTGGTATGTCCAATTCTTAAACGATGTTGTATGACTTGATCTCGTCGTTTTTGTGGCATTATCCCTTTTGGTGACAAGTTTGGGTTGATGCGTTTTAGTTTGTTGTCGTCAAGTTTTTTCCATCTCTCGAGCCATATTCTCATTGAAAATTCTTTGATGGTGTTTTTAATGTCGGACAGAGGAATTTCTGGGAGCTCTTTATCTTGTTTAGTCGTTATAGCAGGCTTCTTTAGCTTCCCGATCAGCTTTTTCATTACCTATTATGCCTACATGAGATGGAATCCAAACAAATTCTACCCTTTTATTTTTACTGTAAAGTTCTTCGAGATCAATTTTAATTTGGCATAGTATTGGGTGGTTTGGGTAAACCCTTAATATTTCTTGTACTGCACTTAAAGAATCTGTGAAAATGACTGCTTCCAATTTGGGCTGGTTTGATATATGTTGTAGGGCTTTAGATATGGCATACAATTCGGCGGAATATATGGAGTACTCCTTAGGTAGCTGGAACTGATGTTTAATTGTTTCGTCAACGAAAGCTGCGCCTACCGTTTCCATTTCAGAAGTTTTTGACGCATCTGTATATATTTGGTAATATCTTTTGTACTTGTCTTTAATCGCTTGAAACCGTTGTAGAATTATATGTGATGAAGTATCAGATTTAGGATACTGTAGAAGATTTGTATTACATGTGGGGAGTTTTATGGTCCAAGGAGGAGGGTAGTTTATTTCATTGGGAATAACTTTCGGGAAATTGAAACCTGTAATTCTTTTACTAAATGATGCAGAAAGAAAGGGTTTTTGTTCAAAAATTAAATGAAAATTGTCAGAAAATGTGTGGGAGTAAGCAGGGTTATTACAGTTTGCTCCAATTTTAGCTGCATATTGTAGGCTTAGTCTGTGTCTTCTGATTGAAAGTGGTGGTTCATCAGCTTCTACATAAAGACTTTCTACTGGACTGGTTCTGTAGGCTCCAAGTGCAAGCCTTAACGCGGTATTTTGTATGATGTCCAATTGCTTTAGTAAACTATCTTTAGCTGAACTGTAGACTATTGATCCATAATCTAGCTTGCTACGAATCTGTGTTTTATATATATTAAGTAATTGTGAGGTATCTGCTCCCCAATTATGATTGGCTAATACTTTTAGAATGTTCGTATTTTGCATGCAAGATTTTTTAAGTTGTTGAGTGTGGGTTTTCCAAGTGAGTTTTGAGTCTAATACCATACCCAAAAATCGATGTTCTTCTACATACTGCAATTTTGATTGTAAAGTGTTAATTTTGGCCAAATTGTTTGTTTGTTTCTTGAAAAACATATTGCTTTTGTTTTGTTTGTAGAAAAAACGAAGACCTGTTCTCTCTGACCACTTTTCTAAAGTTTTGATGGACTCTTGCAGAACACTAACAGCTATTCGGCTATTTTTATTGCTTACATAAAGAACAAGGTCATCTGCATATAAACCAATTTGGACAGGAGTATTAATGTTATCAACAACTTCATTCATTGCAATCAAGAAAAGTGTTACACTAAGTGTTGATCCTTGGGGAGTTCCATTATCTTGGGTATACGAAGTTGACAAATGATTATTAAGTTTAACTCTAAAATTTCTATCATAAACAAAATTTTTAATAAAAGCTAGAAGATTTCCGTCCACACCCCATTGTTTTAATCTTTTTAGGATATCATACTTCCACACAGTATCGTAGGCTTTTACTATATCAAAAAAGACAGCCAGTACTTGGCGATTACTTGCAAATGCCTCGTGTATGACCGATTCTAGTTTAATTAAATTGTCTGTTGTACATCTGTTTTTCCTAAATCCGCTTTGTTGTTTGCATATTAAATTATTGGATTCCAGGAAGTATTGCAGACGTTTGTTAAGTATTTTTTCTATTACTTTGCACAAGGTGGATGTTAAAGATATAGGTCGATACGAATTTGGATCCGTCTTTATTTTATTAGGTTTTAAAATAGGAATTACAATTGCTGCTTTCCAAGATTTTGGAAATTGATTCGTATTAAATAAGAGATTATAGATATCTAGAAGGTATTGTTTGGCATTTGCTGGAAGATTTTTAAGGAATGCATAAGATATTTCGTCAGGTCCTGGGCTAGAATTTTTAACGTCCTGAAGTGCTTCATTTAGTTCATTTATACTTAGTGATGAGTTCAGTGGATGATTGTTATTGGTAATGATTATTTTTTGTTCTGAGTTTCTTTTATGTTCAATAAATATAGGGTCATACATAGAGTCATTGCTGTGTGTTTGAAACGAAACTGCTAAGGTATTTGTTATTTGTGCTTCATCCGATATTTGATTTCGTTTATATTAAGAGAGTTTATCTTGTAAGCATATGGAATACCTTTAATTCTGCGGATCTTGTTCCACACTTCAGATGCGGGGGGTATCATCGGTAATTGAGGATACATATTGTTTCCATGACTCACGTTTATTCTTTTTGATTATATATCTTGCCTTAGCTCTATGTTTTTTAAAATTTACTAAGTTCTCTTCATTATGGTGTTTTTTTAATACGTTGAAGGCATGTTTACTAAGTTTCAGTGCATTTTGACATTCAGCATTCCACCATGGGACCGTCTGTTTACGTTTTGGCCTGCTTGTTTTACCTATAGTTTCTTCTGCTGCTTTTATAATTATTGTAGTGAATTTTTCAACAATGAAATCAATGTCAGTTTCCAATGGTCCTAACTGGGGTATAGAGTTTTTGATAAAATTTTGATAGCTTGCCCAGTCTGCATTATTGATTTTCCACTTTTCTGGAAAGGATATTTCAATATTTTTGTCTGATGCGTAGTTGGTTATTGATATAGGCCAGTGATCGCTATCATAAGTATGTTGTAGTATTTCCCAGTTTAAATTTGGAGCAAGCGAGCTTTCGCATATAGATAGATCGATAGCGGAATGTTTACCAGTAATTGAGTTAAAGCGAGTTTTTTCCCCTGAGTTAAGCAAGACAAAGTCAGTTAAGCTTAAAAATCTTTCTATGGTGTCACCTCTTTTATCTGTAGATAGACATCCCCATGTTGTACTGTGTGCATTAAAGTCTCCTACTATTATTCTGGGTTTTGGAATTTGTTCAATTAACATTTCGAGTTGTTTGGCAGTGATTTCGGTTTCTGATGGAATATATACATTGCATATAGAATATTGTGTTGAAGATTTTATTTTAACTGCTACAACCTCTAATTCTGATTGTATAGGGATTTCCTCTGATTCCAAATGTGAATTAACATAAATGGATACGCCGCCACTAGCTTTACCAGCGTTTGTTCTAATTTTATGGTAGGCCTCATATTGTTTTAACGAGTATTTTTTATTTGTTGTGAAATTTGTCTCTTGTAAGCAGATAACTTGTGGATGTGTTTCTTTAATTAAAAGCTGTAGCATTTCTATATGTGTAAATACGGATTGAATATTCCACTGAATAATAGCCATTTTGTTAACTTTTTGTTTTTTTTTATTTATCGTTGGCAGGAGTATTTTCCTGTGATGTGTCAGTATCTTCAGAGGTGTCGTCCTGGATACTAAAATCTTTGTTTATTTTACTAAGTAATTTTTTCTTGATTCTTGTAATTCTAGATTTAATTGCTCTTTCGTTCAATATGGGATATATTTCAGTTAGCATATGTCCCAGCCGTGTATATCCTGTGTGTATTCTAAGGCCAGTTCTACTGGGGTGGAAGAACCATGAACGTCTTCTAAGAATGCTAGTAATTGGGTGTAATTTAGTACATATGGTGGTGATGCATCTTGGATAAATTGTTTGGCTGGTTGTAATAACGACTCTATATTAGTAGTTTCTGAAGTAGATTGGTCTATTTTGATAATTTTTTTCTTCTTTTTAATTTGCACTGGTTTTGGTTTTGTGAATTCTGTTGGTATAGTTTCTGTAGGAGTGGAGCAAGTTGGGGATGACACTTCCGAGTAAGATCGTTTATTTTTATTATCGGTAGCAGTGCTGACTTGAGCATCCATTTCTTCTCGAGATTCGTCATTTATATTTGTAATTTGATTTTGTTCGGGACTAGTGGATGGTATTTGTGGAAGAAAATTTTCCTCCGTTTGGGGCTTTTGAGTATTTTGTGGATAAGAGGGATTTGAGGAACAGTCCGAGGAAACGTGACCAGCTTGGTGGCATTTGTAACAAGTTAGTTTATCAGAAAGAAAAATTCGGTACGAAATGTTTTCAAAATCAATTAGGACGGAGTCGGGTACAGTAAAATTGTCTGTAGGTGCAAAGTAAACTTGTCTTCGAAAACTAAGTACATGGCTGTATTGCGGGTCTTGTATTCCAGCTCTAAGAAACGAAATCGGAGACATTAATTTAAAACCAAGATTCATTAAAGACTGTTCGATTATGTGATGGGGTATAGATGGACATACGTTGGATAAAAGTAATCTATTAGCGGGTGTAATTAGTTTACGTGCTTTGATTGTATGTTCTCTAATTTTAATTTCACCATATTGACTTAGGAAATCATCTACGACTTGTGTGCTTGAAAGGTAGATGCATATTCTTCCGTTTGACATTTTGGATGAAAACAATACATTTTTTGGATGGACTATAGTTCCTACTGCAATGGTGTACTCTTCTGTTCTTATTTCATCTACTGCCGGTAAAATTATGGCCTGGTTTTTTGTTGGGAATTTTGTTAATGGTTGTTGCTTAGTAATAGTAGAATAAGTAATGTTTTGCTGATCGGGATTAATTGATGGACCCCTGTAGTCAGAGGTACCACCTGCCATTTTGTCAAATTTAATTTTCTATCTTTATTTTAAATTTAAATTGAACTTTCATTTCAATAATTTTAATTTGGGTAGGTCCGACTCTGTTTATTTAAAAGTAAATAGTCGATCTAGCAATTAGCAAGGATAATGCCAAGAGTTGAAACTAGTTTTTTAAATAATTAATGAATACGAAATATAAATAATGTTCTTCGTATGTATATAAAAACAATGTTTGTAATCAAACTACTGCAAATTTGGAAACTGTACTTACAGCTATAAATAGACCACTGTACACTGCTTCTATATATTTCGTTTTATTATTTAAATTTACACTGTTTCTTATCAAAAACTATAAAAGTTTTGGAGCTCAAAATACTTCGACTTGTCTACCTGAAATTTCAGGACCGGATGTCTGAAAATTTGCAAATACTAAACCACAAACTTCGTGTAGTAACCCACGATGTGTATGTAACCGCGCGCTATTTGAAATTCCAGCTGGGGGTCCGTCATAGGCAAGGATCCAGCATAGGTACACTTCTCCTACATAAAATTTCGTTTGAAAACTTTGCTTTTAACTGGTAGACGAAAGTACTTAAGATTTTTGGACCAAACTGTTAATAATTAAAAAATTTCACCGAACCCAGTGTAGGAAAATAGGAATTTTAGCCATTGAGGTCCATAAAACTAAAAAAACTTCGACCGATACATAACTAGCTTAAATTTCCGAGAAATACTTATTTCTCTGGCACAAAAAGAATAAGATCCATTCAGAAGAGTCTTATTTTCAAGATATACACGTCTCTATCAATCTGATAGTGATAGAAACAATAAACTGCAGTGATTGGAATTATTATCATAGTTGTTTACCCAAGAAAGTTTTACATCTTGAGGATACTTCGAGACAGACAGCTGCTCGTCCAGTGAATCTAATTCGGAGACCAAAGATTTGCGTTTAAATGTTATAAAAGTGTTTTAATCTTTCTTAGCTGAGAGCGTAAATACTGAAAGATATAAAGTTATGACAACGCAATTTATCCGAATTTACCAATTTGCGATTTAGGATTTGTTTGTACTTACTTATAATGAGTTCATAACAACAAGCACACAGTTCCAAAGTGGCAATAAATTCTAATAGTAACTGTTTGCTGAACTTTTCGCTGTCACCATAAATTATTTTAACTATTTTTCTTAATACAGTTGCAAGGAACAAAGTGAGAAGTATATAGGCAGTGGAAATGATAATAGGGTTGATACCTAGGATGTTTTCATTTTTGCTGAAACAAAAAAAGTTGAGTTTAAGTCAGCGGCTAAATAAAAACTGCTTTAAATTTACAATAATAAAAACATGATAAGATAAAATAAAAATGTCGTTCAAACTTAGCAAATGATTAAATTTTAAATAAAAAATTTGTTCATATCAATGAAATGAAATACTTCTATTATGAAAGAACTTTAAAATAAAGTAGTCTCACAAACAAAAATCGAAAATGGTAGGCTTATAGTCTAGGCGAGATTTGTTTTGAATTGGACATTTTCATAGGAGCCTATTTTTTTTGCTGGAATAACTTTAGGATGTACCTTGTATCAATAGGAACGTCGGAATGTGCTAGTTGAAAACCTTGAGCTTAATTTTTTATTTTTTTTAAGAATAAGCTGAATTTTCCCGAACATATTAATTTTGGGATCCTAAACAAGATGTAAACAAGTTTAATACTTTTACCCCGGGCTTTCCCCTAAAACCCTTTAGGGGGTAAAAAAGGATAAAAAAATACTCAACAATAGACCAAATACATATTATTCTCTCTCCTGTTACTGACAAAGAATGTAGAGCGTAGAACCATTTTAATTAATTTTAAACTGTTTGACCTTGTTTTAGTGTAGTGTTTTGTACAATTTTATGTCGACATTAATGTTGATCACATTCTACGCTTGCTGGATAGCTCAAATTTGACGAAATGCCCCTGAAGATGCTGTAAGCGAAAGTACTTGTTCAAGATTTGGTTAAACTTGTGCTCGATATTTGCCTTAATTTTCAAAGTTCATTTATTCGAGCATTTAACCTCATATCAATTATTTATTATATACCTGTGGTTTACCAGTTATGTAAAATATTAAACTGGCCACAATTGTAGACGACACTGCAATACTAACAGTTGGTAAAATATTCAAAGAGACAACTAGGCACCTCCAAAATGCAGTGAACAAAATAGGCACTTATTTTAGATAGCGGCTTTCGCTAAAAGATTTAATCTTTCACATTTCGCATAGCACAAAGGATACAGAAAACGACATTATCATATCGTTTCGTTCACGGTCACCAAAGCAGGTGGCGCCTTTGTAAGCTAACTATGCCGTGGTGAAGTTCTGGGAGACATTCGTTTTACTTTCCGAGTATGAATTTGTATCAGCCCAAGTGTCTGACGATGCTGGGATAGGCCGAAATGATCATACCACTTTAGTGATACCGATTCGAGCACGGGAAGTTTAACGAATTTGTCTCCTAGGACATATATTTGGCCTTTTAATATAATAAAGCGACAGCGGCTTTCGCTAAAAGATTTAATCTTTCACATTTCGCATAGCACAAAGGATACAGAAAACGACATTATCATATCGTTTCGTTCACGGTCACCAAAGCAGGTGGCGCCTTTGTAAGCTAACTATGCCGTAGTGAAGTTCTGGGAGACATTCGTTTTACTTTCCGAGTATGAATTTGTATCAGCCCAAGTGTCTGACGATGGCTGGGATAGGCCGAAATGATCATAACACTTTAGTGATACCGATTCGAGCACGGGAAGTTTAACGAATTTGTCTCCTAGGACATATATTTGGCCTTTTAATATAATAAAGCGACAGCGGCTTTCGCTAAAAGATTTAATCTTTCATATATATATATATATATATATATATATATATATATAAATATATATATATATATATAAATATATATATATATATATATATATATATATATATATATATATATATATATATATATATATACGACCATTCAACCATACGTAACACTTATGATTTTATGTACTCTGAAAAGTCATAAATACATAAAACCGAAGTCTGGCAACACCTAAATTGTTTCAATAAATTTTTAATATTAAATATTTTCAAATACATACATACGTAACAATTGATAGTTTAGAACATTTTTTAACATAGTAGTTACGTTATTAAGTGTTCAAAATGTGCTCAGTTTGTGAGTTGACAGCACCCTAATCGATGGTAGAAGGCGTCTATCACATTTCTCCATGATTGTCTAGAAATTATTCGAGATTCATCGATAATACATTGCCTTAGCTATGTAAGACTTGCTGGTTAAGTTTTGTAAACTGAATTTTTCAAGTATCTCTAATAAAAATAATCTTTAGGATTGAGATCGGGTGAACGTGGAGGCCATTCAATTCTACCTTGTCTACCAATTTATCGTCCGGGAAATATCTCATCTAAATAACGCCGAACATTTACACCAACTATCTGACGTTAAATTTCTTTCGATAAAAATGGCCCAATTAAATGAGTACCTACTCTAACTGACCATACATTTAATTTTTGTGGTCTTTGAGTATGGTTTTCACGACATTCTACCATCCATTAAAGTGCTGTCAACTCACAAATGGAGCACATTTTGAACACTTAATAACGTAACTATTATGTTAAAAATATTCTAAACTATCAATTGTTACGTTTTAATGTATTTGAAAATAGTTAGTATTAAAAAATGTATTGAAACAATTTAGGCGTTGCCAGACTTCTGTTTTATGTATTTAAGTCCTTCTAGACTACATAAAATCATAAGTGTTACATATGGTTGAACTCGTATTTAATAAGAGATAATGACTGAATATACAGGGTGATGCATTTGAAAAACCAAAGTTACTAGTAATATAAGAGAAACTGAAAATCTGGCAACATTGCAAATACCAAATATGGAATCTGCGTATCCCAACTCTTTGGGGCCACTTTGGGCCACTATGTATACATGTTAAATTGGGATACAATAATTTTAGTGTATTAGTAAATGCCTAAATATTAGAGGCGTAAAGGTAGCCTCGTCCGTAAAAATAATGCATTTTAAAAAATTTGGATTGTGGGCTGTCCTTTGTTATAATGTTTCACAAAAATCCACTCTAACCGGTAGATCATATGGCAAGTGCTCTGTAATGATAAGGATGTAATTGCTGTTATTTCAGTATCCGCCAAGTACTTGAAGAAGAAGTATTTTTTTACTAAGCAAACCCCAATTATTTTTTAGTTTTTTACCTAACCTAGAGACGGGGTTACTTTTTTCTGAAACACCCTGTATAATATGAAATCAGTTTTCAGAAAGTAAAGATTGCCATAAATTTACTCAAAAATAGAAAGTCACTAGGACTAGACGAAATGACCAGCTTCAAAAATTCGAAGGAGAAAGATACAAGTCGCATGGAGAAAAAGCATAATGATACCAATGTTCAAAAAACGGGACAAACAAGACTTCATCAACTATAGAGGTATAAATCTATTGAATACCGCACTTAAGCTTACCACGAAAGTCCTAACCAACAAAGTCAATAAACCAACAGCTTTACCAGGTGAACAACAAGGATTTGTTGCCATATTTGTACTAAGACAAATCACAGAAAAGGCCATCAAGTACAATAAACCAGCATATCTATGTTTTATAGGCATGACAAAGTCTTTTGATCGCATCCAAGTCGAAGACGTCTTACACCTACTGTATAAAAAAACATACCAATCAATATTATACAAACCATCGACAGTATATACCAGTACAAAGCAGAGTCAGACAGGGACTCGTTAAGCCCACTTCTCTTTAATATATTAATGGACGAAATAATACAAGCAGTACATGAAGGTCATTGCTACAGAATGGGGAACAAAGAAATCCAAATATTATGTTATGCAGACGACGCCGCATTAATCGTCGAGACAACAGAAGAGCTCCAAAGATTAACATACATCTTCAATACAACAGTCAAGAAACACAATGTTTGTATTAACACAAATGATAATATTAACAGAAAAAACCAAATGGGTGACAACACCTAAATACCAGCTAAGATGTAAAATTGAAATTGATGGAAAAATAATAAAGCAGGAAGCAATGTTTAAATATCTGGGAATAGATATAACTAGTTATGAAGATGTTGAAGAAGAAGTATAATAAAGCTTAAAAGCAATTAATGCTTCGGGATCTCTTAATGACACAATCTGGAAGAACAAACACCTAAGACACAAAAACAAGAATCTATAAAGCAGCGATTGGACCTATATTAACATACACGGAGGCAAGACCTGACACGTCTAAAACGAGACGACTAATAGAAACAACAGGGATGAAAATACTCTGACGAATATCAGGGAAAAGTCTGTTGGTTAGGGAGAGTAGCGAAAACATGAGAAAAGCATGTAATATAGAAGACATACATCGATGGATAAGAAAACGGAAACAGGAGTGAAACGAACACATTAGTAGAATGGCAAAAGAATAGGAGAGTATGAATAGCACGAGATAAGTCACCAAATGGACGAAGAAGTATTAGCAGACCCATAAAAAGATGCTGAGATAATTTAAACAATGTGGGAGGCTTATATTGAAAAAGAAACAAGCTTTAATGCCTACATATAAAAAGGAAGAAGAAGAAGAAGAAGTTTATAGTCCTTTCTCAATACCAAATAAAGTATATATTAAAAAAACACAGAAGTTAAAACACTTCACAAATGTGTATTTAGGTATAAAACAAACAAGTTAAAACTTTTTAAAAAAGTGTCGTCACATTTAAAGTTCTGGCAGAACGTTTTCGATCACTACGGATCATCTTCAGTGCCTAGTATTTGTTGCTAACTATATAAATATGGTGTCTATAAGACTTCCATGTTTGGGTTGGTAAAGTGTCACATTTTACATTAGATAATGTTGAAACTGTAGGTCGATGACAATGGATGTATTTAAAATTAAAAATTTACTTTAGGGACTACATGTCTTCTAAGCTCGAATACTTGCACGTTGTCAGTTGAAGCGACGACACAGACCAAATGTGGGTAAAGTATATATTGTGTTAACAATAGAATCACTGTTTTATTGACAATATATATGGTGACATTTGTAGGCGGTAAAGTGTCACTATAATGAACGATTCTGTGTCTGATTCAGTAAATTGGCCACATTAATCAATATTAAAAAAACATTGTTGAACATTGCGATTTTCATTTGTTGTTTTAAAAATCTTTTATAGGATGTATTAATATCATTCTTGATATTATTTTTAATCTAATTCGTTAGACATTTTAAATATCTACTCGGAACGTTTCTATTAAAGGCATATAATAAAGAAGCAATTTTTTTCTATAAATATTTAGCTTTGTGTCATACGCCAAAAATAAAACAATCACTAACACCTACTAACCTGAATCCCAATATCCCCAAATGCTTTAACGTTTTCCTGGTCACGCGCCAGAACGATTTCTTCGGTTTTCTCACCATTTTACCAATTAATTACTCAATCAAACCCATTTCTACCAAATAAGTAAGTAGTTATAAAAAGTATATAAATACTACTTATTTATTCTAACCCAGACCACACCAAACTGCCAACATATTTTGTAAAAACGTCTAATCGTGTATTAGTATTAGAGCCAAGTTTCTAGGATGAGGCTAATAATAGATTTTCGCTTCGAAATGTTTAAAAATCTTAAAGCTTATAATAACTGCATGGAAAACGGTAGGCAGGCCGTGAAATAAATTTTATTGAATTATACAATATATTTAATTGTTTGGAGCGTAAGAGTATAAAAAAAAACGAAAAGTTAAGTCAATTTTAATTTTATTAAGGGAAACTTTTCGTAATATCGTAGTAAGTATTTGTAGATTTCCCAGTTCAATCTTCTAGCAAGACCCCGAGAGTATAGAGAAGAAGGTCCTAATATGGGCTTTCATTTTGCTTTTTCCAATTTTGTTTCTTTCATAATAATTATGTAAAACTGGAAATATTTGTATTGAACCTTTATTAATAAGATTTAACTTATTATTAATTATTTAAAAATTAGTTATTTATTTAAAAAAAGCGTTAAAAAAACAAATATTAAATTTCTTCTTCTTTTTATTCTTCTTCTTTATAAGCAATTCTGCTTGTTCATTGGTGTATTAATACCTCTATGGAATGCAGTGGTGGATCCAAGGGGGGGGGGGGTCATGGTGGTCATGACCCCTCCCAAACAAAAATAAATCTCAATCAAATAATCATAAAAAAAAATAATTTAAACTCTATCAACCCTATAAGCAGGAAGTTTAGAGTTGAAATTATTCAAGAAAATGGGAAGAATTTGAATCCAATAATAAAAACTGTTATTCTTTGTGGTAAACAAAATATTTCTGAGAGGGCATAGCGATGATAAAAATATTAAAAGTATTGTAAACAGTAATGGTACAGAAAAAAAACGGGTGTCCAGTGGGACTGTCGGTAGAAGTTATACTACTATACACGCGTTCGCCGTTAAAAATTTATATGGGAGTCAATCTGCACAATCATTACATATGTTATGCTATGGGTAAGGGAGAGCAGAAAGAGAAAAAGATTAGTTATATAGGTATATGGTTCATCGTTTGCTGTATATAAACATTTGACCTGTAATAGGAGTATAGTAAATGAAGGATTGTATCAATATTTTAATGAAAATTTATATTTTTATTTTCATATATGTATAAAAGGAGTTGAATGCAAAAAAATTTTTTTACACATACTCTGCAGTAAAATTCATTGTTTATTTTGTTATTAATATAAAAATTACAATACAATAAATACACTGCAACCTAATTTAATATAATAATACAATATAAATTAAAATGTAATATTGATAAGTATTTAAAATTGCCAATATACATAACTTACTTTACGAAGATAAAAATAAAAAACCAACAGCTCGGATTATGTTGTAAATTTTCATTTTATTTTAAAATTTAGCACTTTTTCGAATATTACATATGTTTATAAAGATTAACGTGAGGTTTTTAAATATTTCAAAAATAAAAAAGGAAATTCATATTGGGATTCGAACTCACAAACACCGGCGTATGAACCAAACACGTAAAGGATTTGCCAATTAGAAATGACACTAACAGATGTTAAAATTGACAGTTCTCGGTCAAACAGTGATTATTTTAAAATACAAAAGCCTAAAATAATTATAAACATTTAATAAATAATATATACACAAAATATATATACAAAAAAAACATTTTTATTCTCGGGAGAGGAAGAGAGAGAAAGTATATCTTCTGTCTCTCTCTTACTCATTATCTTACATATGTAATGGTTTCACAGATTCACTCCCATGCAAATTTCCAACATTTGGAATCTGCTCCTGCTAATGTTACATTACCTAGTAAAACTGCTCAAAATGATCATCACTTGATGATCAATCATTTCTTGCTGTAAAAAAGTATGTCTCTGTGATATCTTCATTCAAATGAGATTAGAGAAGATTGCATTACATTTATTAACGCCTACGATTCGATTCGAGAAGAAGACGTTAGTTCAGAAGAAGACACCGCTTAACTGGAGTTGGTTTAGGCCACATTGGTGAAAATTCCGTAAATAATTTTAATTTAGATTTAAATTTTTGCGTAGGTTTTTGGTGTCGACAGTTGCTCAGTAATGGCATTCGAAACGAAGAAATCGACCAAACATGCCGTACGTTGTCCATGTAGCAATCATACTTTGAATAATTCCTTGGCAAGCTCCTCAAAAGTTATATCATGTCTTAATGCTTCAGGAACTATGAGAAAAGTAGTAGCTTTTACTAATGCCTCTCCCAAACGACATGATGTTTTTAAGAAGGAACTGGGGCTGCTGTCCAAGGTATTTGTAAAACTCGTTGGGTTGAAAGGCATGAAGGTCATCTCGAAGGTTCCAGGGCGAATTTATTATCAAAATATACAACGCTCTTAAAAGAATTTCTACTTGGAAGGACAGTAAACCGTCAGCTGATGCATTTTCAATAATGCAAACTATTAGGAGCCCAGAATTTCTCATTTCAGTAATTTGTCTAAGTGATATTTTAGGTACAACTATGTTTAAAATCAAATATAGTTGTATAAATTAATCAATACATTTGTCCTCCCCCTGTATTCACCCGATCCCTCTGGTACCGCTGGAATCCATGGAGAGAACAGTTTGAGTCGTTAAGAGCGAGAGACGCAAGACGCTAGTGCATCGATGCATATATTTGTTCGTTTTGTTCGTTGTTTCATAAATTGGTGCAAATCATGGTAATTGGCGGTAAGATCTTCACCTAGTTTTACCTAAACCTTTAAATTGTTTTGATTGTTTATTGCAACCATTTAAATTTTTTATCTTGCCAGAGCTATCGAAGGAATAGCTGGTATTAATTCAGTTATTGTTAATCCGTAATAGTACATTATTGTGTTTAATTCCTTCAAACTGTATCACTTAGTCGTCTTCTTCAGTCACCAAAATTAGATATAAACCAGGCTACTAATGCCACAGAGGACACTAAATGCATTCTTTAAAATAAAAGATAAAATGCTGAATCTGTTTTTAGCAAACTTTACTATGAAGTTAAGAAAGTAGCTGAACAGCTAGACATTGAATTAAAGACACCTCGTATTAAGATCTATTTATTTACCCTTTTAGACTTTCACCGGCAGTTATGAATCCATTTAATCTTCGAGTTGTTATACCTAAAACTGATAACATACCAGAAGATAGGAGTGCATTAAAAAAACTGTTAACGTCTTCCAGGATATTATTGGATTATCTATTGCATATTTCACAGTAGAACAAGAGATTTTACTGTGGATTCAAAAGTGGAAAAGAGTTGTGCAAAATAATGGAAAACATCCTGATTCCATTTTAGAAGTATTAGAAAATTGCGATATTCATATGTATCCAAATATCAGAATATTTCTGCAAATATTTAAGGGTAGTTTTTCTATGCTAAAGCGTCTAAAGACTTGGCTTAGAAATAGAACTTGGAAGGAAAGGTTAACTAGTTTAGGCTTAGTTTAGGTTAACACTCATCAATGGGCATTCTGAATTTTCTTTAGGCGTTGATTCAATCATAGAGCGATTTGCGAAATCGGATAAGCAAAAATAATACGTTTTACAAAATTATATAATATTTACTTATCTTATTCTATTCTAGAGCGCGAACTAATCGTAACCATAAAACGTCACAAACTAGAACACCTGGCCATATAATGCGCAATGAACAACGATATGACCTACTTCGGACCATACTTCAAGGTAAAGTGCATGAGAAAAGAGGCCCAGGACGGAGAAGAATATGCTGGCTGCATAATCTGCGTAAATGGTTTAACTTAACCACTACCGGATATTTCAGGGCAGCAGTCAACAAAGTCAGAATAGCCATGTTAGTGTCCAACATCCGTAACGGATAGGCACCATGAGAAGAAGAAGATTCTATTTTTAGTATTTTCAGTGACTGAATTTTTATTTACCACTCGTTGAAGGCTGTTGCAGACAATTCGTGAGAAAAATTTCAATACCGAGTAAAAAAAGTATTTCACTCACTTGTAGCTGAATATGCCTAATTATAGAAATGATTATTCTCAAATGATATAATGATTTTTGTTGAATAAATCAAATTAAATAAAATGCTGTTTACACTTCTTCTTAAGGTTTCTGCTTCATTACAGAAGGTTGGCTATAACTAAAGCAAATTGCTCTCTATGTTAAGCTGTTCTTAGTATCGAATGTGTGTCCATGCCTGTCCAGTCTCTTACATTCTTCAGCCAGAAGCATTTTCTTCTTCCTGAACCTCTTTTCTTTTCTACTTTCCTTTCAATTATGAGTCATAGAAAGTTATATTTTTCTCCTCTGTAAATATGTCCTCGATAACTCGTTTTTCTGTTGTTTACAATATTTACGATTTCTCTCTCAGTCCTCATTCTTCTCAGCACCTCGTTGTTGGTCACGTGCTCCATTTGGAATGTTTAATATATTCATTAATGTTTACACTTACATTAAGTTATTTATTTAAATTACTTAACTTTTGTTTTTATTTATTTATCCTTGGTTTGTTCTTGATTTTGTAGCCATAGGATAGGTGGGTTTAAATTAATTGTCTTTAAAATACCTAGTTTAAATTGACAGTGCTTGCTATTTCAGTATTTACATTTTAATAACTTTCCTTTGGTTTAATTGTCTTGTACACTTGATTTTACTGTCTTAGAGTATGTGGGTTTAATTTTTTTTTTTAATTTAAGACCCCTAATGTTGTACCCTTCTTTGCACCCGTAGGGTATTTGGGTTTTAATAACTTTTCATCGCTTAAAATAATTATTGAGAAAATGGTTCTCTTACATGAGGCACAAACAAATTATATCAAAATCACACTTAAGACCCATGACAGCCCCCCCCCCAAAAATCTAGATCCTATATCATAACCACCCTCAAGACCCGACAAAAATTTCTGTATGCGCCACTGGCGCGTTCGTCCGATCCTTCTGCCGATTGGTGACTTATCTCTGACTATTTTTGGTGACACGTATCTCCTCTATTCTGCTTATGTGCTTATTCGTTTCTTTTTTTTTCTATTTTGTGCCCATTCATCTATACACTGTACGTTACATTTT